TGGTCGGGCTTGCCTAGTAGTGTGCTGGGCGCCATCACGACCGGGATTTGGGTCGTGACAATGTCATTTGGCATGTGACACTGAACCTCTAGGAATATGACATCTTGGGCCTAATGAAGTGGACTCATCACTTGTAGCCCAATTAAATAGGCTAACCCAGTGAATTCAGACTTATTTATTTAATCCATATATATTGGACTTATATAAATAATCCAATTATATTATCCCAATAAATTTATTTGGACTAAAGCATCTTGAGTTTAAAGTAAAAATAGCACCATGTAGCCAGTTTTTGGACTGGTCATTCAAAAATAGCCAGCATTTACCAAGTCAATGAAAAATAGTCACTATTTTGCTGCAACAGAGACCGGTCCAGCATACTATACCACTACAAGAAAAAGGTTTCTAGCGGCAATTATTTAGTGGCAATAAGTTAATTATTGCTAACGTATTCTGTATAGGCCAATGTTAGCAACAATTGAACATTTGCCGAGAATAAACACTTATACCGGCAATTAAGAAAAATTGCCACTAAAGCTTGCGTCTTTTACTATAACACTAAGGGGTCGTTTGGTAGGATGAATTGGATAATCTAATGCATGCATTAACTTTGTGTATTAATAATACATTATTTGGTAGACATTTTGATCCTATGCATTAATTATGCAAGCATTAGTTATACATCCTATTTGGTATTATCCTATGCATAACTAATGCATAGAAAATAATGGTATTAGCAATGCAATGGGTTTTAATGCATGCATTAGCTTAGTTAAAGACAAAATTGTCCTTCAAAATTTATGCTTGATTAAAATATGCTAGTAAGTATATTAATGCAAGTTCAAAATAATCCAAATAGTGAGAAATAAAATTATATCTCTAGTAAATAAATAAATACTTAACATATTTTTTTTTATAAATAAATATTTAATTTTATTTTACAATATAGGTAGACAAATAAAATAATTTTTTTAAAACTTTTTCATATAAAAATATTTCTCAACATATGTTTCTTTTAAAAAGTTAGAGTGTGGACTAGTTTTGGGGGCATTTTTGTAAACAAACAATTCTTTTAGAAGCTGTGCAATGCTTTACAGCATCAAACAAAATAATGGATAAGAAATATGTCAGCATAACTAATACCAGCATAACTAATGCAAGCATAACTAATACCAACATTATTAATACACCCTATTCAGTATTATTCTTATGTACCCTACCAAACGACCCCTAAGAAGTCCAAGAGCGGCATTTTTTTTCACACTCCCTCCAAATTTTTCATTTGCCTCCTTCATTTTTGTATTTTTTCATCAAGAACCTAGAGGAATGGAAAAATTAAAATCAATTGGAACTCTAACACCCAACATTCATCTCTATGTCCAGTTGGATCGATTACTCTAGTATGTCATCATCAACTTCATCTTCTTTTTCTTTTGATTGCTACTAGATAAAGATCCATTATTTCCCTAATAAATTAATGAAGAACATCAAAATAGTTTGAGTCTTTCTTGTTGTTGCATAGTTTTTGTGATTTTTCTTATTCATCGTCACTCGTTAATGAGATACGAACCACTAGGCACGCTTTTTCCTTTGAAATTGAAGAAGCCAAAAGTTGTGCCTACGAGCTCAAGGTACCTTTCTAATCTCTTTATTTTATTTATTTTGATAAATTGCAAGTATCTATTAGGGATTTTTTTCAAATAATTTTTTGCATCAAGTGCTTTGTGAACTATTATTAATTTCTGGAGAATTTATTTTTATTTTATTTTGTAGTCATGTTCTTTTGGCCATTGAAATTATTTATATCCAGAGAATGAAATTTACTCTCTGAATACTGCAAATTTGAACAGTAAAAACAAATCTTGAGAAACTATAGGTAAAAAAAGTAGTAAGAAAGAAATTTTCAAAATGTTTGTGGATACAAAGAACTTTGGATATGTAGTTGCTCTGAATAGTCCAAATTTAATTGTTGCTAACTAAATATATAGATAAAGGAAATGAGAAAAGATAAATAAGTTATTTTAATCCGATAAGTACCGAAAGAATCTAATACGCAGACCAAAAAGCTAGTGTTGATCCCTTAAGTAATATTACTCTAGCCATGTGAATCGGGCTATAATTTTCAATTTGCTCTTTTGATGAATTACCTATTAAAACTACTTTCTTCAAATAAGGTGTTATTGGATAGTTTCATATGAGAATTCTTTATATTAGGGGATAAACAAATGAAAACCCAAAAGGCGTCATGTTTTAATCTATAACTTATCAAGATGTTTTTGGATATATGTATTAGCATTATGTTCAATCCTTTTATTACCCCTATATAATAAATGAATATTCTAGAAGTCAGGTATGCACAAATGTACTTTGTTATAATTGGCTTTCTGAATTAATATAGCTCTCAAGAGAGTAAGGACTGAAAATAGTGAGAATTTTATTATCGTGATCAGTGATATGCTGCTCTGTTTCCCTTGCACAAATAGATCAGAAACTATTGCAAGGTACTAAGGAAGCCAAATGTAGTACAATGCAAAAGCTAAATACTAATCCTATTCTACTAGATTTTCGCTATGGTTGGAAACTTAAAAGATTTATTTTCTATCCACAATGTCGTTGTTGCAGTAGTTGGATAAGTTCCTGCTACTGAGCATTACTTTGTTCATCTTCAATGGGATTAGTTTATTGTAAATTTGTCTTCTTCTACTTCTCTTTAATATTCTTATGTCTACATCATTAAGATGATGTTCGATAGAGGAAAATTAGTTTTTAACATCTAACTTGATATCAGTACAGAGTTTGGTGGAGATTTCTTAAGCCTACATTGGAGGCAGGTTTATACATTCTAATATGTCTACTTGTTTCCTAATATATTGATATATACTAGGTTCTCGAGGCAAAAAGCAGTCATGCACAACCGACATAAATACCATGAATGCAATTTCAAAGTAAAGATTCCTTTTCTTTTTTCATATTTGAATGTATGTTTCTCATCTCCATTTTGCAACTTGCTATCTCTGTAATATCCATGGTAGTTGTTAGATCCTTATTTTCAGGCATGTTGCTAGTTTGTTAGTATAGCAATGTTAATAAATTCTCATAGTTCTAGATTATTTTAAACTTCTAAATGCTTTAATGTGATTGGAGACATGATGTAATATGTTGGTGAATGAAATCTAAGTTGCGTATTCTTTCTCTTCTTTTATTTATTCACTTTCATTTACATTTCATTTGTGCCTTGTTTTTCATTCTATTATTCATTTTTGACCTACTTGAGTTTGATCAGTAGCATTTGTAGAATTGAGTTTGTCCGGCATTCCCCTAGAGATGTGAACAAACGTTTTGGATAATTAATTTCAGATAGCTATTCCTCCCTCGATCATATGTTCGTACATGTGTATTATATTAGATATTGTCCTTTTATCTTCCGGTTCTTGAATTCAATTGCTCAGATTCATTGGTGTATCAAAATATATGGGAATGTATATTTTGATTCTAGTTATGAAGATTATGAGATGGTCCAGTACCCAAGGTGAGAAAGATCAAAGGTGCCAAAGCTGTTATTGCTTCTCCTAGTTCGACTCCAATAGATATCACGTATCAAAGGGAGAAGCACAAAGGGAGTGGACAAGCTTCTGATAGAGGACTCTATGAGAAAATCAAAGTTGGATGCACAGACACCTCTAAACCTTATTCAAGTGGTAAAAAGAAAACATATGGGGAAGATGCCATTAAGGTATATGAGTGCTTTACTTTGCTTCCAACTTTTTATATATTCGATCTGTGTCTATGGTTCTAGTGACATCTTACTTTGCCTTGAAATTAAGAATAATTTCTATTGAAAAAGTAGAAACTCATTTTTATGTCATCCTTGAACAATTTGTATATAATGGGGATCATCTACTACCTCCCTAGTTAACTTTTAAGTAAAACTTGTTTAAATTACTCTTTAATTATCTCAAAGAAAGAAAGCAAAATTTGATAGTATTTGTACTTGTCTAATATGGCAATATCTTCTGAAAGAAAAGATTTCGAAAGGTCGAATAAGAAAAAATTGTATATAAACTATCAGTATTTGTTTACCAGCAAGCATAAAAAATTTATACACCAAACATACATCAAGCATTTTATTCTATTGACCGAACATAAATAAATTTATAAAGTATAAAAAACCAAGTAATGCCATTTATCTTATAGGTTGGACAACTAAAAAACATAAATTTTGTTATATTGTTAGCATGGTCCAGATTCAGTTTAGATTTTTACCATTTCATATAATTGTAGTGGAATGGCGACACGAGCAAGTGGTCTTGTAAGTCTAAAGTACAAAAGTAAGTAGTTTGTGAAAAATCAAGTTGAAAGAGCTACTAGTCACATAGTATAGATTGTTAGGATCCTTATATATTGAACTTCTGGTATTAATTGAAATTTCTTTTGAGGTTTTTTATTTATTTTTTTCCTCTGTGTTGGCTTAAAATTCTGCATGCATAACATATAAGTGAGTGAGGAATATATGCTTTGATAGTTGACATTAACCAAGTTATTCAGTACATGCTTTGTTGCAAAATTCCAGAAGTTTCTCTGGTAGTGCTTAAAGCAATTTTATGGTTATCAGGTTTAAAGTAGTTGTGTAATTATCACAGTCATAGCTTACCACTACAACAAAAGAAATACTAATTTTATACTTTAATTTGTTTCCTGTAAAGGTACTACATTATGAAAGACATATAGCTTTGGAGACTAGTGGCGAGGTATATATGGTATGGGAAGCCAAACAACTATTCTTTGAATAGTAAGACAGAGATTAAATAGTTGTTCAGATAATCTGGCATGTGGAAGATTTCATCATGATCAAGAGTTGAAAAAACATTAATGGCATCATTTATTGTAAGTATTGTAGCAATTTGATAATGCCACTTAGTAGACAACAAATCACACTAGTTATTAGATTCAAATAGTTTACCTTTTTGGGTATGTTGTTGATACTTTGAAACTATGGATTAGTATATTTTGTTGTGAATTTAATGAAGTGTATTAAACTTTTTGAAAATGAATCTTATTCTTATTATAATTGAATTTGAATTTGCATAATGTGCATTACAGGTTATGAAAGAAACCTTTCTTAATTCTTACTAGCAATAAGAAAGTTCGTTAAGAAGGCAATCAGATGGGTTTTACTGCCTATAACAAAAGCTTTTAAATATATAAACAAAGACCAATTCATAGGTAGTTGTAGCGACAATTATATTTATCGCTAAAAGAACATTTTTTACTAGAAATTGAGTAGGTCTTTACCGACAATAACAAAAGCCATAAAATGTATGATGTTGGATATCATAGGGGAGTTTCAGTGACCATTTTAATTACCGGTAAATAATTGCTGCTAAAACTCATGTACGTTTAGCGGCAATAAAAGGGATCTTTACCAGCACTTCGTGCAATGGATGTTAAATCCTTTAGCGACGCTGGCAATACCGACCAAAGTCTAATTACTGGTAAATGTTTTAACGTCAATTTTTATTGCCGCTAAAGAGCATATTAATTGCCGCTAATAGACTTTTTTGTAGTAGTGTACTGGAGTTCGGTGCACCTGTATATGAACTTCCAGCATACTATGCTGGAACTCCAATACACGGAAAGTTCCAGCATAATATACTGGAGATTCGAGCACTTATGTATGAACTTCCAGCATATTATACTGGACCGATATACTTTGTTGGAACTCTAGTATATTATGCTGGAGTTCTAGTGTACTTATGCTGGAACTCCATCATATTATGTTGGAGTTCCAGCATACTTATCCCGGAACTTCAGTATAATATGCTGGAGTTCAAGTATACTTATGCTGGAACTCCAACATAGTATACTGGCGTATTTTCCAGGTTTTGAACAGTGTTTTCGCTAAGATTTATCTTTACATGAAAAGTTGCTAAATTTCGATTACTTTTGAAACTAGGCTATTTTTAAACTCACTTGTAAATCTGGCTATTTTTAAATTTTTCCCGAGTTTAAAATATAGCTCAAATTATCTTATCGATTTAAATTCGAATATTTAAATGATTGCACTTGTATTTACGGATAATAATGAAATTTATGCCTAAATATCTCGGAAAAAACATTCAAGTTTAATATCGGATTTCTACAGAATAGTCAAAAGTCTCAAAAGTCAGAATGTACCTGTTACTCATTACTCTTTCTTCTTTAAACGTTAACCAATTGAAACTCAAAGATCCATCTAATCAGTTTCCAGATTTTCTCAGGTTCTTTGGAGTGTTGAAGATGAGAGATAAAAAGTTAAGCGACAGAGTGAATGTAATATAAACAAATTGAAAAAAGTAAAAGATAGCAGTAACATTAATGGGCAAAAATAATACATGTCGTCAATTCTACAAAAAGTAATGGCATCATTACTAGCAAACAAACAAACAAATACTTACAAAATACAAAGGAGAACACGAAAATGCAGGGAATGACTGGCTTTTTGATAGTTCCCATGCCTTACACTGTTTCCTTAATTTCTATTCCGTCCATTCATTCTCACGCCATCCTAACAGAGATTGATGGATTTTTTTTACCTACGAATTCATCAGCAAAAGAACTAAAAGTAGTGAATTAGAGATAGTGCACATTAGGAAAAAAGAAAAGTAAAAGATTGTAAACATTACAGAATAAGGAGTTTAACTTCTTATACCATGAGAAAATAGCCTTTTGAATCCACGGTTTATCCTAAACAGATTTTCTATCTCACACAATGTAGGTATACGATTTGCATGCACCCCATCCTGCTCAGATTTCACTTGTGAAATCACAGTGAATATGTTACTGTAACTTCTTATACCTTGACGAAAGTGTCAAATAACTTTTACAGTACTAGATTACCTAAAAACTTAAGACTAAGATCTTTAACTAAAAATAATATAGGTCGCTTGCTACAATAAATTAAAGTATAATACTCCCTCCGTTTCAATTTATGTGAACCTATTTCCTTTTTAGTCCGTGCCAAAAAGAATGACCTCTTTCCTTATTTGGAAACAAGTTACCTTTATTCAATGATTTATAGCCACACAAAATATATGTGCTTCATTTTACACCACAAGTTTAAAAGTCTTATCTCTTTTCTTAAACTTTATGCCTAGTCAACTGGATTCACATAAATTAAAGTATTGTAATTTTTTTTACACTATTAGACCTAATTTATTTGTATTTAATGAAAGCCTAGATGACTGATTTTTTATTAAGTCGCTATCGTTTAGTTTTTAAGTCTCAATTTTAATTATTCAAATTTCAATCATTAAACGTGCTTTGTTTTTTATTACCATGCTTTCTTCCACTGTCGTTTTAAAATTTCAAGTAGGCCAGTCTTTGCAAGTGATCCTTATCTATGAAATCTATCCAAAACCTATATTTACAAAAGCTTCCACAATTAAATTCATCTCAAAATGAGTAGTAGAAGTGCATAAGGTTGGAATCAGTGTTTACTGAGGATATCTTTCTTCTCCATCTCTTTTGCCATACATAAACATAGTAAGTATATTCATTAACTTACTAAACCTTTTAATACAAGAGACGGCAAAAGCAAAAGCAACAACAAAAGCAAAACACTCAGTGTAATCTCTGCAATTTCGGCTCTGATTTTCAGCCCCTCTAATTGGCCACCAGTCATTCATTAAATCTTGAACTAAACATGGTACGATCTTTTGCATTGTTTGAGTGACTCTGAAAAAATGCCCTTTTTCTTTGTAGTAAATGGAAACCAAATCTTGGTATAAATTCACTCAGATTATATCTTTAGATTTCTTTTCTTTTTCTTCACTTCTTTGGAATTATAAATCCAAGTGAAGTGCGACGTGACAAACTACTACTTATTACTCATCATTACATGCATGCAGTTCAAACTACCAAAGAACAAGAAGAATATTTGACGACTAACTAGTTATCAAGTACATTTAAACATTAAGGTTTGTTGCATGGCCCTTTAAATAAATAACAGCCTTTCACTTGAGAGATTGTTTTTTTCTATCAGTTGTTTAGCATATACTATCATATTTAGATTAAAATCAGGGACTTCCTTATTTCTGTTTTAAGAATATAGAGATGAATAAGTACTAGTACTAGCTAGTTCAAAAAAATCCAACTGTCATAAATAATGATTACGAAGGGAATACAGAATGAGAAGAAATAATGATGACAATATGCATCAAATCTTGAATAGATCAGTCAAGTTGAACCAATGCTTTGACTTTGTGTTACTGCACCGATTTGTTTGTGCATTCGAAAAGAAACCAATATGAAAAAGATGAGAGGAATAGTCTACAAGCGTGGGGGCAGAGTTATGTAGAGCCAGGGGATACTTGAACTCTTGTTATTGAAAACTTATAATGCGTAAATGAAACAAAAATATATTTGGTTAAATATCAATTGTTGTATTTCCTTAATATATAAGGGAAATTCTAGTTTGTGATAGAGTTAGATGCACGAAACATCTCGCGTTTAAAGACCCCTTGATGCGGGCAGCCTAACATGACGCAATGGTTAGTGATTGATTCTATAATTCAAACTCGTGACTTACAAGTAACTTTACCATTTCACTAAAGTTTCTCTTCGTGTTAAAATCTCATATGTGACGTTCTAATATTTTTTTGAATCACTTGCATACATTCCTGATTCCGCCACTAATATACAGGACAAAACTAAAAAGAAAATATATTGACAGGATAAAAACTTGCTATATTATTAGTTATCTTTAAGTTTAATTATCATATTATCATAGAAATTTACTTGTCATTACCTTACAAGTAAGCATTCGTGCAAATATTTTTTCGTTATCAGTGCTTTAAAATTAACCAATTTCTTTTAAATGCTCTCCAATGGGATTNAAAAAAAATATCCATAAAGTCTTTTTGTTTCTCAAAAAGACACGCACAATGTCCCAAGTGTAAGCTTCTATATCATCATCACTATACCTCTAGTAACTCTCTCATTTAACCTATCCATCTTCCCCTCCGAACAAAACAAAAAAAAGAGAAAATATTGGTTAAAAAGATGTACTAAGCTACATTTCTCCTAGTTGTCCCCTTGATCCTCATAGGTTTGGCATGGAAAAAACTAGCAGTTTCAGCAGTAAGTATTTCAAAAACCAAACTATCAAAGAGTTGAATAACAACAATAACAACAACAAGGTTAAAGATTCATGGGATAATTCATATGAAGGTGTTGATGGAGATTTAATAGGAGGATTTTTATGGCCACCACGATCTTACACATGTAGCTTTTGCAAAAGGGAATTTAGATCTGCTCAAGCTCTAGGTGGTCATATGAATGTTCATAGAAGAGATAGAGCTAGACTTAGACTACAGTCATCACCTCCAAAAGATAATAGTACTATTCACTATTCTCGTCTAAACCTCAATCTTGAACCTAACCCTAACCCTAGTTTTGTTTCATCCCCACCATCTTCACCTTCAAGAAAATTTCCTCATTTTGTTTCTACACTACCTCCATTATTATCTCCTTCTTTTTCTTCTTCTACTTCTGGTGGCTCTGAAATGAGAAAATGGGGAAAAGATGGTGTCCCATTAAATCACTTGAGCCAGCTAAGAAATGGAGATGTGACAAAAATGGGAAGTGCCAAATGTGAAAAAGTTGGTTCTTTCTTGCAAGGAAAAGAATGTTGTGAAGTGGTGAAGAGGTCTGAGTTTTTGAGATTGGACTTGGGAATTGGATTGCTTAGTGAATCGAAAGAGGATTTGGATTTGGAACTTCGATTGGGATACACTTAGACCAAATTCTCACTGCTTTAAGGTTTGTACTACTTAGATTTTTTCACTAGTTCAAGAAAAAGAATGACGGTCATACTCGTCTTAGACTTGGTCGTGCCCTTCGGGTCAGGCTCATCGTGCCGACTCCAATGAGGAATGCAAACCATTAGTTGCTTTTTTTTTTTAATTAAAAAAAAGAAGGAAAAAAGAAAATAAAAGGAAGGAAAAAAAAGTTTAACAAAAAGTGCACCATTTTAGTGGATTTTCTCTTGAATTCAGTTCTTTAACTATGGTTAGGAGAATGAAGATGCAAAAGCTGTGATGCCATGAAGACGGCCAGCCAGACAATATTGCTTTTGTAGTTTCAATTTGTAATTTGTATTATTTTCTATTTTATATTTCCATGTGATGTAGGTATAGTTCTTGAGTAAATTAATCTTCTTAAATTACTGTTTCTCTAGATATATAATATATTGATGTCGAAGTTAATCAGTCATCATCACTTGTCTCTTTTGCTTAATCTTTTAACGTCGATGATTTAGATAAATAATTTGCATATGCTTCAGCTGCATTTCTCTATCTTGTTTTCTTCTTCTTCTTCCAGTTTCTTGTTTTAGCTTTGAAATCATTAGTCAAGTAAGTTCTAATGTTAATTAGCAGAACATACACAAAAACATGTTATACCAGTAATACTTATTACATATTCAGGCATTATTCCATGTGATTATTAGTTTTTAAACGTTTATTTTCACAAGATTTTGTGTATAAATGTTTATTTTCACAAGATTTTGTGTAATGATAAGAGGCTGCTTCCGGTTTTTTTTTTTTATAGTTAACCATCCACCCAGGCTTTCACCTCCTGGGGTAGTGGGTTCGGCATTGACCCTACCTTATATATGAGTTGTAACAAAAAAGAAAATATTACAAACAGGAGGGGACATAAACCTTACTTCAATAAAAATGATGGTTAACTAGGTCATACTTCAAAAAACATGTGCTTTCTCAAAACTTAAAATTGTAATGAGAATATGCTTCTCTGATTATAATATAACAATCACAAAGATGCATTTTCTTTCATTATCAGCACTCCGAATATTGAGAAAACATAGTTAAGATATGTATAGATATATTTATAACATAGTAAGTCAAATAAGATGCAGATAATTGCTTGCTTTCTATATTCGAATAAATTTATTATAAAATTTTCTCAAGCTTGAAGACTGCATGATGTAGACTAAGCAAGTGAATAAACTCCTTTATACTAGCAATATTTAAGTACAGCCTATGAAAAAGGACATGATTTTCATTTTTATGACCCTGCAAGTATGTACAAATGCATGGGCGCACATGGAAAAATGGTGCATTTATAAGGAAAGTGAATCAGCATGAAGTACCACCGTGTGTTTGAATTACAAGAATAAAAACAATCATTTTGGTGAGAACAAATTAAAGCACCAGATCTATTTGATTAAAGGAAATTGATTCTTCACATTCTGATTAGAATATAATTGTTCCTTTTTATCATCGTCTATACTTAATATTAATGGTTATCACAAATCTAGACCAATAAAATAGTATCTATTTATGCGTATTGTCTTTTCTTTTGGAGAGGAAAACGAGAGTAAGATGTTGAGACATATTATAATTAATAATTAATTAAAAGTGTACTCTCCTTGGGAGCCTAAATTTTTATAAGTATACTGTTTAAGTAAAAGTAGCTTGCAGGTCAGAACCTAGCCGCAAGTCCGATGTGATCTCTAGAAGTTTGGATGGATGAGCAAGTTCTAGCCGATCACTAGGATTTTAATACAAATTGTATCGTAAAATTTAGGAACAAATAAATTATTGACAAGTCCTGACGGATCACCATGAATTTCTAATGGATGGACAAAGATTTGCCCAGCCATCAGTCCTAGCGGATCACCAAGACTTTAGTGCAAATTCTATCGTACGTAATTTTAATTTGGAAAATATTATTCACAAGTTGGATTTCCAAGAGCTTATATTGTGAAATTATGGTAAAGAGAGAATGTCAAGAAGGCATTGTAGTGATGTATTTTCAGTTACGCGAGTCCTCATTACTTATACAGAATATTGATCCTATATTTTGGCTATACAACATAGAGTAGGACTCTTCTAGAATAGCTAATACAAAGAGCCCTAATTCTTGTAAACTAAGCTAAGTGATCACATGGTTATCAGGTTTGTTAGCCTGATCATCATCTTCAACATATGTATGATGGATCAACAAAACTTGCCTTGCTACAAATTCTGGTGGATCGTTAGAACTCCAGTACAAATTGTATCACAACGTGGTGCATATTGTTCACAATTCTGACAGATATTTAGGACTTGCATAGAATTTCACCAACACATTTTAACTTCAAAATTGATCCAAATCGGTCAAAATCAACTCCAGATATCAATTGAAAAGTACTCTCCTTCACCTCTTAACAATGTAGGTATAGCAGTAATGGATGCAATATTTTCCTCGTGTGGTTAAAGTCTCATATGGTTAGCATCTAAATAAATGAGGCATATATTGAGTATTTGAATTTTGTGGATTCGAATTCAAAAATTATATGCGTCTTGTCTAATTTATTGTGTTCAAAATCAATATTTGCATTATTATGAATTATATGCGTACAACAAAATCTCAGCTTAATTTCTTAAGCCCTTCTTTTTTCGTTATTAGTACTATTTCATAAGCAAAGTAGAAAATTGAGAAACCACATAAGTAACTAGTTAAAAGTTTTTATTATTTCAAAGTATGCATACCAACATTTATCATATCTACTGAACTAAGTAATTCGTCTGGGCAATGATGTTGGGCTAGTATAGTTGACTGAAAATAAAGACAATACAACAACAACAATAACCCAGTATAATCCCACTTAGTGGGGTCTGGGGAGGGTAGTGTGTACGCAGACCTTACCCCTACCCTAGGGTAGAGAGACTGTTTCCAAATAGACCCCCGGCATCCTTCCCTCCAAGAACTTCCCACCTTGCTCTTGGGGAGACTCGAACTCACAACCTCTCGGTTGGAAGTGGGAGTTGCTTACCATCAGAGCAACCCTTTTGTCTAATAAAGACAATAAACACAGAAAAAGGTACTAAAAAAGTTTTTGTCTCCAAAGTCTTATTTCCTTTTATCATATTGGAGACTATAGTAAGCTAGGTAGGCCACTATACCATTTTTAATGCAATGTGCGCCTTTAATATTATGTACTCTCTGCCCTTTACAAAAACTCATGTAGCTTAAATAAGGACCAACTGAATAATGGTGTTGTACTTTTCATATTTCCTTAACCATTGTGAAAAGTTTTGGTTCAAGAATGATAATTCTATCTGATGATGTACTATAGAAGAGGAGCTAGAAGTCATGCATTAAATAGTACATATAGAATTTATCAACATTGTTCTCTTTTCCTTTTTAATTATTTCTACATACATATCCTCTTACTGTATATGACCTATAGATGCGGATCTAGAATTTCTAGAACATGAGTGCGCCACTAAAAAATCGAAAAATGAGGTAGGTTTGGATAAATAACTTAGAATTCAACCAGGTGCACCATACAATTTTTTTGGAGCATGGGACCAACCTATAATATTAGATCAATTTATAATATATATATATATATATATATACATACATACATACATACATACATACATACATACATACATATATACATAGTTTACCCATCGGTCTTGTACCCAAATCCCTTTTACACACGTGTTCACCACGGGAACAATATTACATACTCAAAACTTTCAAAAGTGTGTCAATTACACACCACTTTTGACTAGTCCAAGTAATAGTTTGTGTTGTGTATAACACGTGCGTCTCTAAATTAAAAGGACCGTTTTAATCACCCAACCGTTTTAAAGATCCGACCCGCTCAAATAAAAAAATCCAACATTCAGTGCACCACCTTCCCCACCACTGTATCACCTTCTCCACCATTGCAACCCCTTCTCCTTTGTAAAAAAAAATACTCTACCATAGTTAGCACAAAAATACTAGTTCTAACACCCAAATAGATACACACAAACAACATATCCAAAGAACTTCACCGGCCGGAATTTTACTTGAAACTCCATCTCCGACCATCCTTTCTTTTCTGGCATTATCTTTTCCTTTTCACAAAACACAATAATGATGAGCCAAAAGAAAATAACGAAAAGGAAAATTTTCAGATCATTATTTGGCACAATTGAAAGAACCGCAAAGGCCACTTTGTCAACAAAATTCCAAAACAAAAAATTGAAAACGTAACTGTAACAACTAAATTTTGTTCCTAAAAAGTAATAATCAAGACAAGAAATATAGAGGCAAATATTATATTCAATTTCAAGTGATGGGGTTACAATCTCTAAAATATCTCTAAATCTAAAGAAATGTAGTCCTCTGATTCTTCTCCTCACGGATGATGGTTCAAGAGCTTGAAAGCTTGATCTTGAACTTGACGAATTTCAGATTTGTAGTACGTCACGAACAATTTGGAGGTCGTCCGCCTATGACTTGAGTTCGCCTTTGGAATTTGACCACAGACGATGATTGAAAGATATGGATGGAGACTTTGATACTATTCTTCAGAGCTTTTTTAGTCTTTCCTTCTACTTACTTGCTTATTCTTTTAGCCTTCTCCTTTTACCCCTTTATATAGGTGTGGGTGGAGTAGCCTCCAAGAAAACCCTAGTGGATCATTGGGCTTGAGGCTTATGAACCGATCTATTTGATAGAAGACTAACTAATGGGCTAGTCCAATGGTATATTGGGCCTTTATTTAAATCAATTTAATTAGATTTAAATAATTGACCCAATTATATTAGCCCATAATATTTATTTGGACTATTATATATTTAATTTATGATAAAATTTAAATATTTTATGGATTTAAATTTAATGAAATTTCAATCGTCTACAGTAACTACTTCTGCAATTCTACCCTTCTCACTGACACAAATGCCATCAAGAATCTTTCAAAAAAATTTCGGATCTTAAGTAACCAAAAGAACAAGNCGGGGTGGGAGTTGGGGGTTGGGGCGGGGAAGAAGACAAGAACATGAGGGGTTATTTTTTCTTTCTTTATTTATTTGTTAATTGGTATAAAAAGGGGAAAAATTTAAAAATTAGACACGTGGATTCTTTATAAAACTTCTAAAATGAAAATTTTAGAATTTACGCGCTTGTTTGATGTGAAGAACACGCGGTTGCCACATAGCTAAGGTGATGTGTTGTTGGCAGACTTTTGAAAGATTTGAGTGTATAATATTATCCCCGTGATGAACATGTGTGTAAGACGGATTTGAGTACAAGGTCGATAGGTAAACTATGTATTTTGCTTATATATATATTTATACTATATTAAAAGCACGAAGGCCACCCTTTAAAATTAGATTTCACACTAGAC